ACGAAATTGCTAAATTATAAGCAGAAAAATATCACAATATACTTAAGATATGTGATGATCATGAAATCAAAGCTAAAAAATTTTGATTTTTTTTCGAGCAAAGAGGAAAAGACACTCAAAAATTCAACATGTATCCAAAGTTTCTTTTATACATCACGAAATTTATTTTGACCTTCAAAAATTAAGTTTGCCCACCTCTGCATCAAGTCCATTAAATCTGTGTCAAGCTTCATCAAATCGTCAATATTGCTAAAATATAAAGTCTTAAATGAAAATTATCTAAAAATACTCTTCCATGATAATTTCAGTAAAAACCACATAAAAATAGAGTTCAGCTCAAACTTACTTAGTATCACTTGAAACAAATATTACATACTGCAAAAGATATTTTTTATGATCATCAATACATCCGTTCAATAAAATATATTTTTGACTCATTTGAATGCAGTACAGATGTCATTCATCTATGTTCTTTTTTTTACATAGGATTGTCTTTCTTATAAACAATATTATTTTTTAAAAACTGTCATAAGTAACTACTATTCATTGATTATCATGACCAAGCCGATCACCGAATGAGCCAGCATTCTTATTGTCACTGATAATCAATGTCGCTGAAGTTTCGAACGTTCGTATGAAATGTTCATTCAGAAATGTTTTTTACAATGTACAGAATATATCTGCCAATTTCTGAGTGGATCTAAATTGTTGCCTTCTGCCTTTGGATTTTCTATTTTCTAATTTCGTTATTTTACATACTCTACATGATTTCTGTGCGTTGGTTTTCTTTTTTTCAAATTTTTCACTTTTTTTTTCATTGATATGAACGTTCGAAACTTCAGCTACATGATAATCAAAATATAATGAATAATTTTCAGAAATTTATATTTATCTATTTGAAGAAGATACCCTTTAGATAGAAAATATGTTTCTGAAAAATGAAAGAACTGTTAAATTATCAAATTTCAATTAAATACAAAATGATAAACATGTAATAGGAATCTAATGTCTTAAAATGATAATACCTGATAGAGACTTTTCAAAACTAGACATCACTTTTTGCTCAAAATAAGTCTTTCTGCAAAGCCTATTATTACTATATTTTGAAAATCGTTACTTTTATAAACAATTTAAACTTGAAAAATAAGAACATTATATAAATAATGTATGACTTGAATTTATTTACAGATATGAGACTTAGTCTACAACTTAAATCCTCAAAAGATGTATCAAAAAGCCTGTGACTAAATTCTCCTAATTTTTTATTGCTTTCAAATATCAGTGTATCGACTATTGAAGTTTTCCTTTCTTTTAGGGACCATAGCTCGACACATGTATTATTCCAAAGCATCAAGCACTGATGCCTTCTGCCTTAATTCCCTGATAGAAAATTAAAAATTGTTCCTAATTGTTCTTAAAAAAACAAATAACATTCATAATCGAATAATTAATTCACAAGATTTGTCACCAAAAATGTTCAAATGTTATCTAATCAATATTTTTAAATGTGAGTAATAATTTTATGATTGCTTGTCATTCAAGTATAGGACCGAATAATTGATGAAGTAACCATCAAAAAAATTTGATTGTCGTTAAACAGGAGAACAAAGTTAATGCCTTTCATTTTGAGTCGATCGTCCACCGTGTCGTCGATTGAGAATAAAAGTATGATGGCATTGATGAATGTAAAAGACAAGGGGTGAGGAAAGAAACAACGTATGGTGACCAGTACAGATATATAAAAGGGGATATCCTTGTTTCTTTTATGATCTGAGCTATGTCCGCGTGTAGTCGAAACGCTACATTGGAGTTGCCGTGGCGGCTTTGCGTCGGTGTTTGCATTATTGAGCTTGAGAAAACCACAGGTGGAAAAGCTTTCCTGGGGCTCCTATTAGCGCGTGTGAGGGAGAACGGAAACATAGCAGAAACGCCCTGGGGCAAACGCGCGTGCGAGGGCGGTCCGAGGGTGAACGAGTAAAAGAGAACTCTTGTAAAAGTCACTTCGGGGAGGTATAAAGACTTGAGGACAACTGCTAGCCTTGAGGAAAAAAATTATGACTCTACGACCTTTCGTGGTTACGATTTTTATTTAATGCAAATTTTTATACTTTTTACAATTTTTCATAATCGTAGTTGTTGAAATTTGACTTATATATGATCGTTGGAGTTTTTATTTATTTAAAGTTGTATTGATCGATAATTCTTTGAACTTTTATGTTACATGTTCCATCACCGTGATCATTAATATTTCGAACAATATCTTTTTTCTATTACTTTACTTGTTTAAATAAACATTTTGGATTTTTGTGGAATAATGAATGCTGAGTTTTTATATTTTGGAAAATATCTTAATTTATATGAGAATCTTTTTAAATTTATATTTCAATACATATGTTTTATACATACATATATACAAAGCTCCAATTAATCATCAGTGACATGATCACATAAAAATGATATTGAGAAAATGTAACAATTTAGTGAAAATTCAAATTATCTCAAGTGGTAATAAAGTTTTAAAAAAATTGAATATTACTTTGGAGTTGAATTTTACAATTTAATTTAAACGTAATGAGTATTCAAAATTCAAATAAAAGTAAGATTCAACATGCGATCCTATGTTACAAATAATTTTAATATTTCAAGAATGGAACAATCAAAGCTCTGGAAATATAATAAACAAAATTATTCTTCTTGTAATTTTATTTGAACATTATTATTCTCTCTATGGTACTATAATGAATGATCATGCCTTAAGTTGTGATTAAACTGAGAATAAGTTGAAAGTGTAGCGAATGTTTAAATACAAATCCTTTCATGATTAAAATATAATTTAATTATGAGATTGTAAATAAAAAATGAGTACAATATGACAAAACCAACCATCTTGATTTCTTTTCATGTAATAAAAGAATTAATTATATCTTATAAATCTCTTTGATGAACTGTCTTCAAGAAACCAGACTTGAAAAAGAATAAATGATACCACATAATAAGTATAATTCTATTCAGAAATTAGAACATGACATTTCAATGAGTAAGTTTCATTAACAAATCGAATCGATAATCTTTCATCAAAAAAATAGTTTTGTTTTTATAAAGACTGATGGTCAGTCATCGAATCACCATGAAATCCCGTTCCAAAAGTATCAGAATTATAAATGATTATTATAAAAGTAATCTTTTGAAATAAATCAATGAGCATCACAGCGAATCTGGAACTATCCACCTATCTTTAGCATCAAGTCTATCACTAATTGGATTAATGGTTGATCAGAGTCTAATTGGCATATTTTCTAAGAATTTGAAATACATATTCAAGTACTTTTATGATATTTCAAATAATATTTAAATACGAATGACAACAAGTATTCAATATTTGCATTTCAGTAGCTCAATGAAGGTATGTTATCTGAATCACTGGATTGCTTTTAAAATACTAGGTATGATGTTATAATAAGACTCATCAGAAACATGATCAAGTAATACTTTTCTCTGCATGTGTAGTACCTTAAACCAGGTTAATTGTATGATTTACGTATTTAAATACATTCACAGTATTTGCATTTATATTTAAATACTTTTTTTTTTTGATAAACAAGCTTGCTAATTAGTACTGAAAAGCAGTGAAAAGCTATTGATCCATTTTTACAATAATTTTATCGAAACTATTCTTTTTTTTCAATTTTATCTTTTATTAATTGCAGTTTTCTAATTACTTAGTAGAAATTAATTGTTTTATATTTATTTTGATAATGATGATCAATTCATTAAATTTTATGGAAATGAATAAGTACATTTTATGAGGTCTTTATCCAGATAGAGAAGAGTTGAAATTTGACATTAATTTGAGCTCAAGATGTATGTAATACACACATATTGACAACATTGTAAAGAGTGGTCAAAGGTAGTAACCAGCATTTGAATCACAGTATTGACTTCTGTAGGAAATATTTAAAAAAAAATTGAAATTAATTATTAACTGAACAGCCAATCAATTATTCACAAGGAAACCATGTAGAATATGAAGCTTATAAAATTTTAATGAAGTGATAAAATAGCTTAATAGAGTCACTTTAGCTGTTAAAGTATAGAATAATAATCGCAAGTGAATCGATAAACGCTTACTAGAACGATCGAAGTCTCATTCTATCCTTTGAGCAATTGTACATCAAAGCTTATGAACAAGTTATTATCTCATGGAACATGCATATGCGGTAACTTACTGTATCATAGTGCGAGCCAACTATGATAAATGTCTATAAGACCTTTACATGCCAATTGTCAAGTTAAAAATTCTGCTAAATAGCATGTGAACAGCTTATCTACATATACATTGAAAAATCAAAACTTTTACTTATTATCAAGTATTGTTTAAAGTTCTTCAACTTTTCAAGTTTAAACTTTCATTAATAGTTTGTTTAAAATTTATTTACAAACTATTCACAAAAATTTTCTAGCATTTACTTCTTCAAAACAAAGTATTAAATTCATGTTGATGTATTATGTTAAATGAGTTGACTGTTTCCAGGTAATTTGTCAAGTAATTTTTTGATAAAGTACTAACTTTGTTTTAAAACATTATATAAAATATAAAAACAAAGTTATAAATTTATAAAATTAATTTCACAAGTGTTTTTTTAATATAGACTAATTGTCTTAAATTTTATTACACTCTCTGTACCATCTAAAAACAATTATTCATGATTATTAAAAACAACATAAATTAAACTTATAATAACTTAATTAATAGTAACAATGTTTTTTCTTATCTACCCTTCTTTTATATCCTTTATTAAGCATAAAGTGTGACAGAACATTTTTATCTGAACTTTTTTCCCTTTTTGTTTGACTACATGTTGAATAATAAATTGATTTGAATGTTCAGAACAAACAATTAGTTGAATGAAATGATGTGTATGTGGTCATCGAGTGTTTGAAGAGAAATTAAATGAATTATTGTTGATTTTGATGCAGCATTTGGGGTATCAAGGAGTGATATGGAGGAGCATAGTCGGGATAATGCTCTTTGTAAAGTCTGTGGTGATAAAGCATCAGGAAAACACTATGGAGTACCCAGTTGTGATGGATGTCGAGGCTTCTTCAAGAGGTCAATTCGCAGGTACGCGAGGTAATTATCGTAGCTTGTTTAGTATCAAGAATCGAAATTTTAAATATTAATTTACTTCAAGTAAATATTAAAGTGACTCTTGGAATAAATTCAATTATTCTGTTTCATAGAAGACCACTCCAAGAGAAAAAAAATTCAATTAAAGTCATAATACTTCACATAAATAAGTAGTGGAATGATTTAATGTTAATAATATTTGAACATTTCATTTAAAAGAGTTATTGAGTATCACTGGATGTACATTAACAGTACTAGATTATTCACACTTGTACTATTTTTAAACATCTTACTAAACAATTGGCTGTTTAATTAATTTTGACTTTTTATCATTAAAATATAATTGGGTATTAAGTCAAATAAAATTGAGTATTGAATAGAACATTTATAGAAACAAAATTCATTAAAATGATTTTCAGTTTTAGTTATTCTTAATTGTATTTATTAAAATTATTCATTTAATCATTATTCAAGTTAGGCATCGAAAAAAATTATTTTTTTTTGTTAAATTTTAGAAATTTGGATTATGTTTGCAAAGAAAATGGACAGTGTATTGTGGACGTATCAAGAAGGAATCAATGTCAAGCATGCAGGTTCGCCAAGTGTCTAGAAGTAAACATGAAACGTGATGGTATGTTTTAATTTAATTACATAAATAATTGTTAACTGTATGTAATAATTTAATTAGTACTGGTCAATTAGAAGAACAAATATAAAATCAGTAGACTTAATTTTGTATTTATGTTTTGTTTGTTATTAAGTTTTTTTAATACTGCTATTAGGATCTATTCCAACTAACATAATTTTATGTCTTACAGTCACTTTGATAATATTTTCCGTACTCCAAAAATTATTTTTCTTCTTCTATCAATAAAAACTCGAAAGGTCAACATTTAAAATAGTTGTCAACACCGACCATGAGCAAAGCATCAAGAAATCATTAAGATTACTTTTATTTTCACAGAAGAATTAATAATATTATCTATCCTATTTTCATCTAGCTATAACACTCTTTTCTACTTTCATTTCTATCAACCACAGTTTAATCTACTCACTATCAAAACAAATATAAAGTTGGTCTCTCTTCGTTGGAAGAAAATACAAATATATATTACAATGCATGAGCTGAAAGCACTTAGCGAGAGATATAGAAAGGGGCAGCAGGAAGAAAAAAAAACCACCCACATGAAATTCGAGTCATTCACAACTTGAAATTCACCCAGAGTGTCACAAACAGACTGGCGTTCACAGCTTTTGTAAACATCATCGGTCGCTTTGGCCGACGGGGCATAATCCAAACACTTGATTGCATCAAGATATCAATTAGTCTTGATACTTGAGTGTTTTTCCGCAAATAAAAATTAAGCTTCATGAATTAATGAATGATTTTATATTTAAACAGTAAATTATTGAAATTAATCGTTTCAATTATTTGTTTTTCTTGAATGCTTTTATTTTAATCAAGATAGAGTTATTTAATCTTTAAATTTGCTGTGTAAATTTCATAAACTGTATCAACATGGTGTACATTTGACAATATAAAGAGATAGATCTTAAGAGCAGTGTCATTTTCAGCGGTTCAACATGAAAGAGCACCAAGAACTATATCTTCATTGGTTGCTGCAGCAAGAAGAGTACCCTCGGCTATCTATCCAGGAACCTCTCATGTCTATCACACCACAAGCAGCCCTTACCATCCTCTTTTATACCCATCGCTCTTTTCATTCAAGCCCAGTGTACCAGCTTTTACTCCAGGCGTAGGTGAGTTATGTAAGCTCATTGTATTAGTATAAAATACCCGTTAAAAAATAAATTGTTTTTATTTTATTTCATTGAATCATGAAAACAATCTTAACTCTAAAAAAAAGTGGCCAGATATGAAGATAATACCCTTGAGTTTGAAATACCACTATTTTAAAATACCTATGCTTTCTATATTTACATACTTTCCTCAATAAAAAGTTATTTCTCATTATTCTTACCTAGATATATTATGAAAAATGGCATGTAAGTTTAAAGAAAATAAAAAAAAGAAGAAAACTCAGTCGTAAAGTAATTCGTATATATCAGCTTATTTATATTAAGTATCTTCTTATTTCTGTCCAATATATACATAATTTGAGTTGATCAATTCTGAAATCACCTTTCTACTACCTACTTCATTTATATGATATATCATTCTTGAATAAAAAGTTCCATCAAGCATATCAAAACTTAATATTATATAAGTATACAAGTCTCGGTCTTATGCTTGGTTTCCTAGTCTCGAACCACACTTGGACCTATTGTCAAGCGTGACATTTCCTACATGCACAATACATTTATATTGCCTTTAATTTTTTGCAACAGTTTTATTGTTATTTCACGAAACTTATGATACATTTAATCAATAACTACATTATATTAAAATCTGAAATAGGAATAAAGAATATTTGAAAAATGAAATCATTGTATTATTTTCAGCACATTTTATTCCAAGACCGCCTACCGAGCCATTGACTGCCACCACTGCGAAGGAAGATGAAGTGACAAGTTCCGAGGAAGCTAGAAATGCAGTTCGAAGAAATGAACAAAAAAGTATGTATGTACACCGAAAGAAAATAATTCAACAATCATTTTGATAATTAAATATAACAATAATTTATTTTAGGCAACATGAGTATACCTTTAGTACACACTCCATTGACAAATCCATCTCTCACATCTTTAGCACCAGATTATGGAACTGGTCAGTCATTTTTGCTCACGGAAAACGTTTATGAATCAGCAGCCAAACTTCTTTTTTTAGCTGTTAAATGGGCTAGAAGTATTCCTTCCTTTCTTGAGGTATGTTTAAAGATTTTTCTGCATAATGAGATCACTTTTCAAAGCTGTTTTAATATTTGCTAGTGATACATGCCATGGTGCCATGATAATAAAAAATTATATGTTAGAAATCATAGTGACTTTATACCATTGATTTGTGACAATAATATTAATTCTGGATATATTAATAGCCTTAAGTAATTGAATCATTTTCTTAGTTCTAAATAAACTAGACATAGACTGATCTGTGATATTATCAATGATATTCATGGAAATTATTCATAGTTGTCTGTTGTTTCTGATTTAGAAGATGATTAATCTTTAACATTTATTTCTTCTAGTTATCATTCAGAGACCAGGCGATATTATTGGAAGAATCTTGGAGTGAATTATTTGTTCTGACAGCTGCTCAATGGAATTTTTCAGTAGACGAATCTATTTTAGTGCCATTGATTTTACCGCCTGAAAGAAAGCAAATACTTTCTGATGAATTAAGAAGATTTCGAGAGTTGCTCGTTCGGTTCGCTATTCTTAGAGTTGATCACTCTGAATACGCATGTCTGAAAGCTATAGCACTTTTCAAAGGAGGTAAAATTCATTTTTTTACATCATACATAATAATTTTTTTGATAAATAACATATATTTGAAGTTAATATTTTACAAATATATAAATAAATCAATAAATTGTAGAATCAAGAGGACTCTGTGATGCCAGCAGAGTTTCAACCCTTCAGGAACAAACAGTAACAGTTCTTGGTGAAAGGGGTGCTGGTAGAGTTGGTCGTTTGCTACTACTGTTATCCCCTGTTCGTGCAATATGCCGCAATGCTCTGGAAGAGTTGTTATTTAAACCAACTGTCGGTGAAGTCAGTGTTGAAAGGCTACTTGGTGATATGGTGCGAGCTACCAGGCCGACTTAACATTGATTTTTTGAAATAGCTATCAGCTTATATTTTTCTTTTATTGCCATCAACAATCAACTCAGTTCAATAATTCAGAATTGATGAAATTCATTAATAGAATTATACACTGAGAAAAATATTAAGTAAATAAATTTTTACTTTCATATCTATTGAAAATAATCAACTAGATAGAAGTAGTAAATTATCGAATTACTAAGCAGTTTACTTTACATATGACAAAAAATTATTAGAATGATAACTAATTTTCTATGTGGTTTTAATAATATATTAATATATTTGGTAATATTTACTTTATATTTTCCTCAGTGTAAGTATCTCAAATATGGATAGAAACTAATTTCTGATATTGATGAGTTGTATCTTGTAAACTAGTAGAAAAAATTTTCAGTTATTCCGAACGTAATTAAATATTGGTGATAAGTCTTAAAAAGTTCATCATGTAAAAGAATAGCAAAAACTTGCGCATTAATCTGATAATATATAAATGATAAATCAATCTAGATTTACATAATGAAATTTATTCTAGTCAATTTTGTAGCATTATCGAATTCTTGTAAAAATTGGAATTATTACGGGCTTGTGCAGTATCTTTAAAAAATCCGTGAAATGTAAATAAAAATAATAAACTAGTTAATCATGATATTTCCTACAAAAAAGTGATAAATAAAAAATATTAAAACGTAGACATACTTTAGTATAATTTTAATATATTTCTTATCTATTTTTCTTAAATTTTCTTGTAACTTGCATTTTTAAAAAACTGATTTATAATATCCCTGTAACCATGTTATTTAGTGATTATATCTATAAGACAAAAATAAAATAAATTAAAAAAAAATATTAAAAAAATTAAAATTAGAATCAAACTAAACTTTTTAGTGGGAAATATTTCAAATAGCGTGTTCAAGTATTTAAGCAGATATAATTGTTATTAAATGAAAAAATAATATAAAAAATATATCTATAATATGTATAAATATATTATATAAATTATTGTAGAAGTAAAAGAAATGGAAAATATACGCAATCCTTTTTTTTATTAACTAGAATAATTTATTTATTTTTCTTCATGGTAGAAAAAAGAGAATGTATCTTAACTCATGGACTGCATTGTACTCATATATATACAATTACATACAATCCTCAATTGAATGTTACACATAAATTCAGTATGAATTGATTTGTTTCTTTGTCCTCGTTAATATGTGTTGCGTGTATACAAATTCATTTAATTATCCTGGAAGCTATTTCAATACGTAAGTGCGCTTACATTTTTAAATATATTTTCTTTTATTTCATTTATATTTTCCTTTTGCGGTATATATCTTTTTATCTGATCTATTGGTCTATACTTTTTATTTTCATTTGTAATCAAAAAGAGGTATGGTAAACAGGAAAAATAATGAAACAGCAAGGAGTAAAAACTTAACAAAAAAAAGAATTTTGAAGAATGGAGTAACTGGAATTTTGAAAGAACTTTTTTTTTTTAAAAAACGGGATTCTTTTTCTGTATGAAGTCTGGAAATGCACTCTATTGTGGATGTTAGTGATTTTTAGCGCTTGGAGGTGTGTTATGAAGGGGAGAGGGGGTGTAACAATTCGTGGACAATGAAAACTAAAAAAAAAACAATAGTAAAATAGCGTTGCCACTAAAAACAAAACAATACATTATAATAAGATATGAATAAAGACAATTTTTCTCCTTAATTTCACTCAATTAATTAATACAAGACAAAAATTTAGCCAGCAATACTTTTTTCCTTCATCATATTATCAGCATCCTTAAGGGGTAGTTGGAAAAAATATCTCCAGAAAAAATGTCATTGAAAGAAACATTACAGAAAAATGTAATTTAACAATTTTTTTGTCATATTTTTTTCAGTAACATTTTTTCGTTAATTTATCTTATGATTATTAATTATACCTTTCACGGTTATTTGGTTACTAAACATTTGCATATCGCCTGGGCAATGGATTTGACATTATTCAAATTCAACAATAAATTTCCAAGTTTTTGGTAATAAAGAGAAAACGAGGATTAGCGATGTTTTTATTCATGTATATATATTTTTTTTTTCAATTGTGTTACCCATGGCGTTACGCAATTCCTTAATATTTTAACGCTTTTACATTCAGTAGAATTTATCAAAGAGTTATACAGTGAATAATTTGAATTCAATAATAATGATTACCGCGTTATCAATCGCTTCAGTGAGGAATTGTTAGGTTTTTATATTTTAAATATAATTAATAATGCTTATTGTGATAGTGTCAAAAACACTACTCTTGCGTTAAAAACAATTTAATAATTTAACATCTCAACAATGAAAATATTCATTGAATAATGAATTTTTCATTAATAATTTATCTTTAAAATTTTGATTATATCAATTATCCAAAAAGTTTTGATTGTTTTAACGCAAGGGTATTACACAATTATAAAACATTATTTTATTTTCTTTATTTATTCTACTTTTCTTATATTAATCGCAGCACTCAAATATTTATTATTTTTAATCAACTCTATTCCTTCTTCCTATTTTCATCATCATCATCATCATCATCAAATTAATTAAAAAACACAACGGCAACTCTACTATTTTCATTTTCTATTTAACTTTATATTGTAAGGGCAAAAAACTAACAGACTTATAATCGGTGTAATATAACAAATCGTCGCGCAACGAATGCGCGCGACGATTGCAAAAAATCATCCAGAAATATTATCAACTATTATTTATAATATCTAAGAATATAATGCCATTGAAAATCGCAGATTGATTTTATTTCAATTTTAATCGAATGATGCACGCAATCATCGCGGCAAACGGTACGCAACGAGATATAACAGATTATTCTATTTTTTTTCTCTTCATTTTTCATGCTCTCAAGCCATTGATGTGAGACTGATCTCCTACGATATCTTTTCTACTTCATTCAGTACAAAAATGTCATATATCAAATATGATAATCTCTTAAAAAATGATAATTTGGACGGTTTTGCTTTTGGCAGTGATATAAAATATCTTGACTACGATACTGCAAAACCATTTGATGATGATAATAAATGAAGCAAACTGTCTCTTTAAAATAATACATCAAAGTATCGCAGGAGATCATGATTAAGACATTTAAAATGATTTAAAACATTTTTTTCTATGTATACACATCATAATGGCAGAGCTGAGATAACAATATATTTACTATTATCGTTATCAATTATACATACTATTATTTAATTAAGTCTTACAAGACGTGTGAAAACAAATAATTATTCAAAAATGTTGGAAACTTTATCATTCTGTTTCACATATTAATGTATAATATTACAATATTAATTTCAGAATTAATTATTAATAATGTATCTGTTGTATATTCAGTATTGGCTGATTAATATTTTTTTTTTTAAATGTATTCTATAAAAATACCTGACAAAAACATATGTAAAACGGCAGCGATGTTTTATGTTTATCATCATTGTACTGATGTACAGATTTAGATTAATTATGATACATATTACTATTTCTATTATCATTAGAATTATTTTATTATAATTAATATTATTATTAGTTATGATTTAAGTGTTTAAGTTGGTGTGTAGTATTATAGGTATATGTATATGCATATAATTTTTTTTTATTTATAATATTTGTTAAAAATGTAATATAGGCAGATTCCAGTGTCTATTGCATTACGACAATAATATTTTAATGTCGTTGTGTTATTAATTATTTTAAAAACTGTATCGAAAATATTTCGTTTTAATGAATTAAGTTATGGATGATGAAATAAACAAATGAAATAATTCATGACAAATAATCAAATCAAAATATATTTTTATCTCCATGTACATGAGTGTACGAAGTATTTGCGTGTAAATATGAGGTATGGTATAAAGTTGCAGCTATGAAATTTGCGAGGTAGTTTATTGTGAACGTATTCTCAACCATTTCAACTTTTTTATTATTATTTTGTTTTTTTTTAATCACATGTATTATTTTTTAACATTTTCTTCTTTTTAATCTATGGTATGAGATACGTTTTTTTTTTTTTTTATCCGTTACTATTGAGAAAAACTATTGCACTTGTGAGTTTTAATAGCATCGCGGCACGTTTTTCTAACAGTACTACAATTAATTGCGCAAGGAGAAAGACATTAGGCTATTTCTTGTTTACATTTGAAATTAAAATTACATATGATTCTGTTTATAAATTCATGTATCATTCTATTAATGTGTAACAGTGGATGTTATTTAATCGCTTAGTTATTAGTATTTTTATATCATTATTATTAATATTAACATTGAAAAGTAATTTGTTGCTGTAATTTATCATTTTCAAGAGTTTCAGTTGGTTCTTCGTTGCACACACACACATGAAATTCAATTAACATGCTTCTTTATTTTTTTTACGTCACACGATAAACGGCAATTCCTCACGTTCGCGTATCCTATGAAAACCAATTTTTCCATGATTTCGTGTAGCAGAAGCTATCACTCCAGAAGATACAACCGAGATATAATTTTTTATCTTATCTCACAATTTAATCAAACAATTTTTCAAGACATCTATCAAAATATTCATTTAATTTTTTTCTCTTTTTCTTAGACTCTTTTATTCAATCTAATTTCTCTTTTTTAGTAATATTTTTCAACAATCGGAAAAAAGAGATTTTTTCTTTTAATACTACTACTTTAGACATCTGGAGGGAAGCTATCTGCTACTTTGGAGACTTATTGCCTATTTTTTTAATTCCTATGTTCATGTGTACTTAATTATTATCCGTATATATTTAGTAATGTTTAGACGTATTATTTACTAAAAAATGCCGTATTTTCTTGAATAAAATTTGAAAACAAATTAATATTATAAGTGTGCCAGTTTTTTTTGATAAATTTATATATAATTAATAAAAAATAATTAAATAAATCAGAAAAATATTATATAATCTTTCGAAATTAAATTTCAGTGCGACATACAATTTGATTTATCAAAAAAAAAAAACACTCCGTTTCTACCCTTTTTTTAAAAAAAAAATTTATTTACCACAAAAATTCTTTTTTTTTTACGTATAAAGGTTTTCTTAATCTTTGAGAAACCACGCGTTGTACTGCCCCCGATTGAATATCATTCACCAATTCTTTTCTTTTTCAAATTTTTAAATATTAATAATTATTTTGAAAATACAAAAATACAATTGTGGTAACGATTAAGTGATGTAACGTTAAGGGTATTTTTTTACATAGTAGAATAGTAGTAATTAGAGTAAATTAAAGTAGACAAGAGAAATTGAAATAATTATGGAAAAAAATTATCGTAAATATCGGGACCGCTTGACTCCGGTTATTGTGATGTTCTTATATTTATTATTTAATTATTTTGTCGGATTTAGTAAGAACAAAAATAGTTATTTTTAACACTCGTTCAATCGACAATGACGTGCATATATTTTTTTTTACCCCGAAGCCCGGGTGATCCCAAAAGTAAAATAAAAATTAAAACAAAAAACCATAGAATGTGCGAAGCAAATGCAAGCGCGAAGGTTGTCCTCGACAGCAATGCTCTTAACTTCTTTAAATAAAAATTATAAGCATTAATATGTTTATGAATAAACGCTTAAATGTTGTGTAGCTTCCACGGCGTTGTGCCGGACGATTTTTATATTAAACTTTTTCATTATCTATGCTTCACTTTCGTTATTTTGTATGCATGCAACCACCATTACAATTGATATCAATGTTCAACTGCCACCCAAATATTTGTGGTAGTTATTTTTCATTCCTTACACCAAGTATTTTTTTTTTTATTTTTTAAGACAGAAAGAATTTTTTCATTACGATTATTATAATTATTTGATAATTTGATTTTGTACGTGTTTTCATTTTTTTTGTTTGCTTGTTTGTTTAAATTAATAAATTAATAATAATCTTTTCGTGCTGTCGCTGCCTAAGTCGAGCACGATAATAATTTACAATTCCCCGCGTGTTTTTTTTTTTTTAATGCGTAGAGGGCTCGTACTTTGCGTGCGCGATAATAATAAATATTTCTGTGACCCCATTTTTGTTAGTTACGATTGATCACATATTAAATATACAATTTTAATTATCATTTTCTCTGATTAACGTGTTATATTTATCCTTCGATAATGCCTCTTTTATTTTTTTTATTTACTTTAAATTTTAAATTACCAATAGTTATTACTTGACTAATTTATATCAATTAATTATTAAAAAGAAACTTATTTATGGCCGCACCGAAGGAAGTATTACAATATTTAATATTTCGGTGAACAAATTTAATCGATTCATAATAATAATTAGAATCGATGACAACACAACTGAACAGAAAAAAGTATTTGTAAATACAGTAAAGACGAAAAAAACAAGAATAATAATAAGAACAATTGATTAACGGAACAAGAATGATAATATGGACTTAATAATCATTACGCAATTAATTAGCATCTTTAACAAAAACAAAAATGCAGTGTATGTATATATAATATTGAAAAAATCCGTAGAATAGAAATCTTATATTATGGAGCTGTTGATTGCTCGTCAAACTTTTTTTTGTTTTTTTTTTTAAATATTTTTTTTTTATATTTTATTACAAAAAGAAAAATGAAAACCTAAAACAACTATCGGAGGTTTGTTTTTTTTTTTTTAATTGTCTACCGTCACTGTACCAACTCTTAAAATGGTCCACAATGATCGATTCTTCATTCGCATTTAAATTAAACATAGAAAACTGTAAAACTCCTGAGGTAGTGGACGCGTTATGGTAAGTTTAGTCTGTACATTTTATGTAACGTAAAATATACAGAAAATTAATTTGTTTATACGCGATTTTAATGAACATGTAATTTTTTTTTTTACTTTTCCGTTTTTTATGTATATTAAAATTAATGAGGCATTTTGATATTTAAATTTCGCTTTAATTTTCATCGCAATTCACGCACTCGATAATGAATTTCAATTTGTATTTCTTTTTTTCAAATTTCTCACATTTCTTATTAATAACAAAAGTATTTTGGGTTTTAGTATTAATCTCACGGTACTCAATAGTAACATTCGTTTTAATAAGAATTAAAGAAAGCGCACGCGTGCATTTAATAGTAGTAATTAATAATATAATTGTGCAGAAATTATTTAATGATTATGGATCATGTGTATATTGACTATGTATATCATTAATCAGTTCATTAATAAGTAGTTAAATATATGTTATATATATACAGTAAGTAAAGATTCTTGTTATGGAGATTGTTTTCTTTGTGTAAATAATTATTAATTACATACCCGCACGGTTTTCTCATAATGCCCATTATCGGCAACAGTAAGATAATAATAATAATAGATAATATACCACAACTCCAGCAACGCATCACGTAACTCTATTTAACTATTTTATTTCTATTTCATCATTTAATTATTTTGCTTTCATTACCTATCAATTTAAAACTCAGTAGAATCATCTTATTATTTTACACAGACGTATTAACTGATATATCTACTATTTTGTTATCTTGTTATCACGTTAAAAATCATTCACATAACAATGCCCAACTGTTTACAATAAGGCCCACTATTTTCTCCACCGCGTATCCTTTCTCTTTAATCTTATCATGCCCATTCTTCAGATATTTATTTATTTATTTTTTTTCTACAATTATTTTTAATGCTAATACTAAAGCCCAAAATATTCTGTCATGATTTCCTTTTATATTTTTCTACGTTCCTCTTCATATCTTCCCCATTTGCCTCCTCAAAACAACAACAATAATGACAATAGTCACAGTATTGACGTGAAAATATTTCCATTCTTCAACAGAATATTATTCACGCTTTTTTTTTTGGATATTATAACTATTATTACTATTTTATTTAATATTAATATTATTATTACCATTTTATTTGCTATTAATTATTTCAGTGTTTTAAAAAAAATAAAGATGTTTCTGGTTATTGGTAAAACATCCATCAGTGTCATAATGTGATACTCTTGTCTTGAAAAAATGTCTTGTAGACAGGTGTGCTTTTGGCTTTTGTCACTTATTGTTGAATGGTTTAATGATATACTCAACTTCATTTAACTGATTCTGTGACAAATGAAGTGATAATTAAACTCTTATACGCGGGAAAATTGTCATCGCTCGACTAATGGCTCGGACATGTGCATTTTAAAATCATATTGTAATGATAATAAACACCGGAATCAGTAAAATCAATGATTAATTTAACCGGTGAAAGTCCGTGCACACCTGATTAGTCGTTTTTTTTTCTCAGCATTGATAGCGAATCGTGTAGCTGTTACACGTTAGACGCATTCGGTATGTCCTGGGTTTAATTTCGTGCTTATTGCTCACATTTTATAATGATGATTATCATCTTTTAATTCGTTGTTTTTATGTGAATTCCATTCTTTATTGTTTTTATGATTCCTTTTTCGACGAAATGAAAATTGAAATGAGCTGATGTGAAGTGTAAAGCACGTATCATCGGTATTTATATGTGTCAATTATGATTATATCTCTTCTGAGTAACACACAATTACAATCTCTGCGCGATTAAATACTTTAGATACTAACATTTAAGATTTAGCGATTACTCGATTTTGTACATTTGTCCGTGGTATCCTTATCAATTATCATATCTCTCAATCCCTTTCTCTCCCTCTCTCGTTTATTTTATTCTGACATTCTCAACCACACTTAATAATTTATAACTTTAAAATCTTTAAGTTATCATTATTATATTAATAATTTCTCTGCATTTTTTTTTTTTACTTTGTTTCTTTCTTACTTTGTTTGATTTGTACATTTCATCTCCCCGAGTGTGCGAGCGGGTCTCACATGCGCTAATTTATGCAATGTTTGCGCTTTTTTTGTATTTTTTATTTTTTTATTTATTAATTATTATTAATATTATTATTACTTTTTATTAATATTTTCCTTGTCTCTCACCACTCCTGGCATCGTTACCTTTAGCCTCAGCTTTTGTAAGTGTTGATGCTATGGATGTGATTATGGCTGACTAAATGTATTTAAAATCGACATAAATGGTATCTCCATTTTTATTTTTAATAAGTTTCTGCTTGTGATGTTTTCTTTCAATTAGTTTTGAATTTCTTTTTCTTCTCTTGTCTTCTACGTAATGATGATTACTATTTTTTTTGGTCTGTGTGTTCTTAAATTTTTTTATGACTGTCAGATATTTATTTTATTTCTTGCATTATTTCTGCTGAGAGCTTCAGAACTGTGAGCGAGCAATATAGTGAAATTAATAGTAATAACAATAATGAGAAAATTCTTGTTATTTTTTGTTTTTTCAATAACTGAGCAATGAATAAATTTTTTCGATCAAACGCTACATGGTTTTGTCGAATCGTGAGTGTTATGTTAAGTCTTAGAGTTGAAATTTGATTTGATAAAAATGTAAAAAAAGAGTAATATCAAGTTTTTTCGTGATAAAAAGTTTCTTTTATCAAAGAAAAATAGAAAAAATTATGTTAAAAAGTGAATTTACGTTAAATTTTGTTCAATTTTCTTATTTTAAATCTGGAAAGAGGAGCATTTTATTTTTACTATCAAAGTGAATTTTTTTTTTAGTTAATCTGAGTTGAATAATTGCATTGTAATTCAGTGAATTAATCTCTTGGCACTTTTTTCATCAACTATTTTAATTATTATTACTATTTTTTTGTTGTTGTTAATAATTATGTTTAATAAATAATCCAGAAGTGGTTGAAGCGGGAGGCCGTATAAAACAAGATCATTAGAATTTAAAGCATCACATAAAACTGCGTGCAAAAATATTCCAATGTTCTTATAACGTTTTCCTGGTGTGACGATCTCCCTGCGACTCGACCACCATGGTATTTTGAAATATATTAGATATATTATACAATTTACTCGTCTATAAACTCCTTTTCCTTTAATTGCAGTATAAAAAACTGCGTAAAAAATTCTTTGTTTCATTTACTTCTATTTTTCGTCTTTAAATGTCTCACTCACGAAATTACTCTGCCTTGTTTCTACATAAATATTAAACAATTTTTTTTACTCATTCCACATTTTATATTAAAAATTTAATTTTTTTCTTATCCTCAACTCTTTGTTACTTCTTAATATCGTTAAAATTCATTAAGTTATTAAAACATCTAACAAAAAAATCGAAAAAAAGAATTACTTAGATCTCCTCCAACAATGTATCAAAAATAAACTTATACTCTTATTTTTTTTTTGTATTTTTTTTTCATTTTTTAATTTGTCAATTTTCTCTCTTCAAAATTACGCTCTTACTTTTTTTAAATAAAAAAAAAACATTTTTAGCTCGTCTTCTATCATCCGCTCATATTCTTTTCTCGAGGAAAACCGTATACAGATAATGTTTTCATGAGTTTTGTTTTTTTTTAAACATAATAAACTCACTACAACCATCTCTTGAGCTTATAAATATCGCAATTCCTCGAAATTTCAATCGAATGTACATACTTTTGAAATTTGACCGATTATACGTAAACATTGATTTATATTAACTCTCTTTAACTCATGTATCTTTGTACTTGATTTGCCTAAACCACAAGGACATCTTCTATATTCATTTTAAAATACAGAAGATTTAATTTGTTGTTTTTATGAAATCTAACGATATCCATGTCTCGATAGATTTTCCTTTTCTGTAGGCTTGATTTTAAACGTATTACCGTTAGTAAAGAAATTATGGTCGTGTTTAAAAATACAAACCGATTCAACAGAAAAATAATGATCACAAAGTCCTTTGAAAATCATTTGCATTATTTTTTTGTTGAATAAAGTTTCGATAGGCTTTGCCTGCCCATTTTGGGAGCCTAGCATTTTATTTAACACGACAAGAGGGTCAGTCCGATAACTGGTGATTTTCAAAATTTACTTTTAATAAATCACCCGATCGAGATAAAATCTCGAAATAAGAATTCTCTTTCATAATCATGTAAATTTTAGTTTGAGTCTCCGTGCTTGAAATGCATGGATTCCTGTATTCTAATACCGGATCATAGATTTATGTTTTGTTAATGAAAATTTTCCAGTGCACGTCACCTTGAAATACTATGAAAATGATCGTAGAATAGTGAGACACCATAACACACGAAACTTTCGCTCATCTTCCTCATCATTAATTGTTAATTATAATTTTTAACCTTCTTTTCTACGCCTCATATCATTTTCAGCAGGAATTAATCAATTACTTATCAATTAATAGTTATCAATCAGTCAACACACGCACACTCACACATTACTACATTCATGGTAAAGTAAAAATCCCTGAAAATGTTTCGTGGCTCTTTCTAATTATCTTCATACCCTTATAATTTCCTTTTTTTTCATCATAATCATCACTCTCATTCGTTCCATTGAACTTAACACTTAAACTCATCAATTAAATCAAGTCTGTTGAAATTACTGTTGTCACAGTATTTTAAACAAACGTGTTTAACTACTTATTAAGTTCTTAAATTGTAGAGCAGTCTCATTCTTAGCTCTTTCATGGAACTTACGGCTTTCCTTGTTATTATTTTATTTTCTTTAATATTGTTGAGCCCAGTACGTGCACAAATAGCACGTTTTACTCCACTTATAATACGAAAAAAATCATAATCGTTTCTTTGGTATTACGGTGCAAATGGGCTGATAGCTCCTGAGCTCATTATTTAATATTTAATCTGCGAATGTTGTGTCTTTTTGTAAATTATTCAAATGCATATGTTTTGTTTCTCTTAAGTCACCACAATGTTATTAATTTTTAAATGGCTAACAAAACTGCAGTATTTAACTTCTCTGTATTTATCAGTAAAAAAAAACAAATGTAAAACAAACTGTTTTTCTTTCTGTTTTCACAGAATAAAAACAGTATTGATAGGAGTCGTAATAATAATAGCGGTAGCAATATTAGTAGTAACAGGTATAACATAACTGCGTAATCGTTACTTAACTTCTCTGTATATTATCATAACTTTAATATTAGGTAGACTTTAGATTAGTTGGTTTATCATTTCTCATTTCACTCTGCTCTATCATATTAAATCTTTAATCGTAATGAATGAGGTAATAAGGTTGTGTGTGTTTTTTATCATCATTCTTCACGTTTCATCAGCATAATCAGTTTGACATTGTAACTAAAATCGCACTAGCACTTTAACTGTACGATTTATTCTGGTTCATGACACAGTAAACTACTTTCAAACGAGAACTCTATTTACCTATAATCAATAATAAACGATTTTCGTTAATAGTGAATTATACAAGATTGATCATCAAGATGTTTATGCTAAGAAAAGTCATTTCCCTATTAAATTCATGCATAAACTCTTTAACGAAAACTATCTTGATATAATCTCAATATTACTATAATTCACACGAATGATGACTTCCAGAGCCATCTCGTAATACATTTACAATCTGATCAACTTGGATCAATAAAACATTTCACACACGTGAGCTTGATAAAAAAACATGATTTATATTTCGAATAAAAATACCGAAAATTCACCAAACTCACGCTATTATAACCAATCACATCATAATATTGAGATTTTATCCGCGCTCTCGATCGAATTAATAATTCACACGAGTCATACGAGAGTTACAAGACCAACGCGGCCGATTGAAACGGAATTCTATGAGGCGTTGGTTGGCATCTGGTCAAGTTTCATCAACGTTACTGATTCTGCTGAGGCTGCTGCTGTTGTTGTTGTTGTTGACTGGATGGTGAAGAACTCATTTGTGGCTGAGAAGCTTGTTGTTGTTGTTGCTGCTGCTGTTGTTGAGGTTGCTGAGGCTGTGATTGTTGTTGAGGTTGAGACGCTGTACTACCTTGTTGAGACGTAGCACTTCCATCTCTTCGGGAACGCACACCACCTTCCTGGCTACTTCCACGTCCTGCGCGTATGCCAGTACCAGTGGTTCCACTTCCTGGAGCACCAGATTGAAGGACCATCGCTCTAATTCTTCGTTGTGCCGACTAAAAATTTTATTTGTTATTATTTAATGTCAGATAATGGAGTAAATTATTTATAATTTATTTTAAAGAGTAGTGATCGATAAACTCATCTAACTTACTTGAACTGAGAAGAAAGGCCCAATAATGTGGACAGTAGTTTCTTCATCAGCTGGTGGTGGTGTTGTTTGCTGCTCTGAAAGTTTAATTACACTTCCAGTCACTCGCTGAAGTTCTCTCACGTTCTGACCACCTTTACCAATGATACGACCAACTTGAGCACTTGGTACTAAGATTTCAATTGTCAATCTGATGTCTTCGGTTCCAGATACGAAACCTTCTTCACGCATTTTTTCGAAGATTAAATATTGTGCCTAGAATAAGTTCAATATTGAATTAAATCATGTAATTATGTCTAAGATTTAACAAAATGTACGAAAATTTTAAAATATTCTATTTTTTTTAATAACAAATATTTATACCGGAATAATTTAAATGTTATAATATACAAAACAATTAAATAATTATAAATAAAATTACCCAAGTATCTAAAGAGTTTTTTAAATTAAGTTAATACGATAACGATAATAATTATAAGATAACAATTTCTTTGATCTTTTACCCTTTGTTAAATAAATAATTTTCATATTTTTATAATTTGAAAATTTTGTTCATTACTGCATAATTGACGGTTATCAAAGCATTATTAATTGATTTTAAAGAAAAAAAAATTTGTTGGAGCGGTACGGGGGTCAGAATTGCAATTATAAATACGAAACTGACCACGGTAATCCACTTCATTTAATCTTCCTGATCGAATCAAGGTAATGCCTGCATACGTCATCACCCCAAACTGACAGGTTTCTCTATAAGAGCTAAATAATTCTGCTCAATTTCAATTTGTTCAAGGATTCAAATGAAAAAACTCAAGACAACTGAAATTAGTGTTGAGTTGGATTCGAACCCACGAACTCAGGTATCGCAGGCCATCACCTTGACACTAGAGCTATCGAAACATTTGTAAGAAGTTGAATACAACTAAGTTTTAAACAGATACTAACCTTCCATTGAGACTCTGGCGATCCGACAATCGTAACTTTCCTCTCAGTTTGCTGATCAGCAGGTTTCTCTTGCTCTAAAGGAGCAATTTTCACACTAGCACCAGAAAATCTGATAATATTTCTAATATGTGATCCCTTGGTTCCAATAATAGCACCTACACTGTTGTTAGGAATGTACAAGAAAGTTGTTTCAGGAGTATCACTAGCTGGCGCTCCTTGTTGTGTTGGTAGACTTCCTTGATAAGGATAAGGTGCAGGTCCAGAACCATAAAGACCTGGTCCACGGGAACTATAGCCCATTCCAGCTGTTGACATCATTGCCATTGGATGGAGACCCGGGAACATTACACTTTGTGGCTACAATGAATAAGAAATATTTATTTAGTGATGAAGAAATATTGATAATAGATGATAAATAGTTTGAATAAATATTTACAGCCATTGCTTGGAGGTCATTTTCATAGCTTTGACGAAGTTTGCTAGAGATCATCGCTTCAGCTTTGCTCATGTTGTCAATACTGCCCTTGACCGTGATAATTCGCTCCAAATTGAAGCTGTTGATGTCATTTATACTGCTGACCGTGATCTTTGTGTCAGTATCCATCATTATTCTTTTGATTGTGTTACCGCCTTTGCCGATTATACGGCCAATCAAGTTGTTATGCGCGAGAATTTTTAATATAATTTCCCTAAATAAACAACATTACAAATAATTAAATTAATCATCTTTCTATTAAGAATCCTGATTGATTTAATAATCAAAGTAACTAGTACAAACCCTTTATTAGTGTTGTTGGCTTCTTGTTGCATGACCTCCAATATTTTTTTACATGCATTCGTGCAGTTTTCTGGATTACCATAAATGGTGATTGCTTTCTCGACGGAACCAACATTGTCTTTGCGATGGACATCGACTCTAGCTCGTGTCATCTGCGTAATTTGACGAATGGTGGAACCCTGACGACCAATGATAGCACCCACCATATCCGACTGCACCAAGATGCGTAAAGGAAAGTCCGTCTGACGACCAGATCCCGGTAGACCAGAGAAAGCAACTCCACTGCGCTGACTACGTCCTCTTCGTCGGCTTTCTGCACTCGACATTTCCACTTTTATCGGAATCCCGTCGATCTCGTAGCCATTCAACTGGTTCACAGCCCTAAATAAATCATCAAGATTGTATTTCACACTTGGTAATTGGAATTTATTCAACAATAGAGTATTTGTAGTATGATTTATAGAGCATGTACGAAGGAACTTATCTGCAATTTATTAAATTTTCTTCTCAATTGAAATCTTTGCTTTAGCTTTACAGCTTTAAAAGCGATATTATCATAAAATACATAAACTGAATATAACTTAATAATTTAAATAAAAATAAAATAACTAAATAATTACAAAACATAAATTAATCTCAATTATAATCATGCTGAAGCATATTTGATGTACTTGAGTTTGTTAAATGTTCTTCAATGTCTCCAACTTGGATGTTTATTACAAATATCTTAATAAATTCGAATGAATTATATCTGAATGGTGAATTTTACAAATATACGCTGCTAAATCAGTGAGTTTGTAAATTCTATAAGATAAGAGGATCACATTATATGATCAATCATCAGACTTTCATACTTAAATACTTAAGTATTACGGTTAAATCTGAGAACGACATTAGAATAAAATGAGTGAAAATGAGATGATTTATGTATAAACTTTGCAAATAACTTGCTTGCAAGATGTTAGTGAGATTATATTTAGGAAAATAAGAGTAAAAATTTCGACTCACTGCTGTGCTAGCTCTTGCGTCTCATAGCTAATGAGTAGCGTCTGGGTATTGGGTTCGCGAGTAGATAATTTTTCGACGTTTTGCACCTGTCCGTATGTCGAAAACAGGAGCTCGACGTCTTCTAATCTGGCGTGAATTGGCACGTTGGTGATCAAGACTTTTGCCCCGGAGCCACTGCTAACACAAAAAATTGATCATTATTATACATAATTTTATTAATCAAATAATAGTTTATTCAATTAATAAAATTTGAACTGATGTCTTTTAGAAGTGAGTGAGTCTGACAGCAAATATAAGTGAAGATTACGTTAGGTAGAAATAAGAATTCTCGACTCCAAGTCGTTTAGCACAAAAATGACATGCCAATGAGTCAATAAGCTCGTCTTGTTGAAAGAGACTGCCTGTTCATAATTATATTTCGGGTGGGAAGAAAGATAAATGGGGGCTTTTAACAAAAGGTCGCCGAGCCCACGCACGACCTGATGATGTTGCCAAGTTGAGCGTGAAAAAGTATAAATAATATCTGTATAAATAGAGTAAGAACATTAAGAAGAAAATCTTGTGAGAGAAGTTGTATATTTGCTGAAGTCAAAAAGAGAAGATAAACCCAGATGATCACACAACACACCCACACACCACTATTATCTAAGCATTAATATTCCAAAAAAGTATATTGAAACAGTAGAGCAGTTGGAATTATTCGTAACAATGATAAATATTTTTCTGTTTCATTTCAATGCCTCCCTTTTTTTCGGGGAAAAAAGAAAAAATGACTTTCATATAAGAGACCACTTTACCCTCTTACTGTGACATGAATGAATGGAAGGAGAACGATGCAGAGTGTAAGGAGAATAAGAAGGGCAGGAGGAATTTCAGGCCATTCTGGAAGGGTGATGGAGAGGCTTTCACTTTCGTACGTATCGATTTTTCTACTTGCTACGTTGCAATTCAACACGATCACTGTCACGGTCATGTACGACACACTTTTTGTTAAGCCCTTGAATTATTTCTCAGTAATTTAGATACTTTTTTTAATAAATTATTACCATTATAATAAATTATATGATAAATGGGTAATTATCAACCAGGTCAATGTCCATGACATTCATTATTATTCATTACTATTATATTATCAGTTTCACTTGTATACATTTTATCCTTTGTTTTGTGCTTTTATAGAGTGATGTGATTTTGTATTCTTTAAGCGAATTTCAATACTTAATTAACGAATAATAAATATTGCAAAAAAGTGAAAATTGTGCAAATTGTTTTTTGAAATCATTCGTAAAAAATAACAATAATGATTTTTGTTTCTATATTTAAAATTGTATGCTAATTTATGTTTGTTGTCATAATTATCGTATTTGTTTGACTTTAGTATTTTCTATATGTTAGAATCAAGGCTTGTGCAACAAGTTTTGCATTTAATTATATTACTTTTTCTTGAACTCCTCACAATGTAAAGTAATTATATGGGATCATTTTTTTTTTTTTACAATTAACTATTGTCAGTAAAATTTTATGTATTCACTACACATGATGACTTAGTAGAGTATTAGTCATTAAGAATTGACGTTTATCCTTATAGGCTTTTCATAGTGATAATAAATATCTCTTAAAAATTTATAAAGAGATATTATTGCCTTTTTCTCTAAGAAATGATTCAATATGGTTAACGGTTAACACTATTTTTATAGGACGAACATTCATCAATATTAATTGATGGCATTGTCCATATTATTCATATTTCTAACATTCTTCGAATCAAATGATCTCATTTTGATATTGATCTTCATTCGAAAATGGTATTAAATCCTTCAATTAGTATAGTAGAACGTGAAAATATAAAAAATGAAATATTTAAAATAATCTATTGATTAAACAGATAGTAGCTGATTAGATTGATAAATTTTGGTGAAAAGAACTCAATACATAAAACAGGAAAAAGGATAGTTTGATAGCTAACGAAATGCTTCGAAGGGGTGGATGAGGATAAACCAATGCTGTATGAAAAAAGATCCTTTGTTTTGCGTGCTTTTAGGGATTTTCAACGGCACCCGTGAGTTAGATAGGGAGTATACAGTACGCAGATACTGAATCTACTACCATTGATATTACTAATTCTGGCTCTTTTTGGCTCTTCCACTACGCTAGACTTTTCAGCCCTTTTTTTCAAGTCCTTCTATGGTACTTTTTTAATTGAGCGATTTTATATTTGAATAAAAGCCGCTCTTGACAACGCAATGACTTGCAAATGAAATTAAAAATTTTTGTTCTAAGTAAAGTTGAAAATATAGAACTTTGTTTGAGAGTTAATTAAAGGTCGGTAGTTGGAGATAAAATATAATAAATAAATGAATTATAATTAGAAATAATAAATTAAGATACTGAGATGGTGGTGTATGCGAAAAAGAAGTCTGTGGTCGTTTGGTGTCGCGTCGTCAGACGCTCGCGGCGTTGCTAAAATCGATTTTGAAAAGGGAAAGTAACGTGTGTGTGCTTGGCGGGCAGCCGTGCGTACGGAGAAACTTAACGGTGTGGCGCGAATATAAAGGAGCTTGCCACTGCACTCAACCTTAAGCGCCGGCGTCTGGCCGAGCTTTCATACTACATACCATACGAAAACTACCCTTTTGCATAGCCATACATTTTTTTTTTCTTACTGTACGGATAAACATTAAAAGTCGTCGTTTGTAATTAATAGTAATATTCAAATTAATCTAATGAGCCTACATCTAATTTATATGCTTTTTTTATTCCAATTCTCTCATTAAAGCTATTCATTTTTAATAGCATATGTTCATAGAAATAATCACCCTTTAATTATGCTGCTGAATGTATTATTGTAATTATTATGCATATGAACTCATGGTGAAAAATTGATTGAGTCATTATTACTATTATAATAATATTTTTTAAAAACATATTTTCATACTACCTAGACATAATACCTACTGAAAAGCACCTCTAACACTTCTGTTTTTTAATTGAACTGTTCATGTAAAAGTAAAATTTTTTTATTTTAGTTATTTTTTAACTTTGATCGAATGACAATTTAAAAAAAAAATATTCTAAATATTCAATTTAGTGAGGGAAAAACTTTTGAGAAAAATGTCGATATAAATTGTAAAACATAACGAAAGGAAAATTAAATATTTAATAAAACCAATTAAAATATTTATTAAAGATGAATAAATTATGATAGATTGAGAAAGATGACTGGTCCAGAATAGTCTTAGTCAAATACTAAACATAAGCAAATCAGTCAAGCGTTACTAACAACAAATTCAGTCGTTTGTCAATTAATACATGAATTACTATATATACATATATATATATTTTTTTTAATTATTCGAATGAACCGTATATCAAGTTAGACGGTAGTTATTGAGTGTGCTAAGTGGTATAAAAAAGTCAATGACTTGTAAACATGGATTAGAATGATTCGCATGTTCAGAGTGATTTTATTAAAATAAAATAATTTTATATGTTCAAGTATCGAGTTGTATAATTGATATTTTTATCCACTAGCATAATTAACAAGCCCAAGTATCACGATATGTTCCGTCCTATATTTTTTCCCTTACATAAATTCTTATCTTCGCTGCTATATATGGTAGCCGTTGCAACTAATGTGTCTTTTTTTCTTTTGAACGCGGAAGTTGAAGCAGTATTAACACAAAAAAAGCTAAAGTTCGAAGTTAAAATAAACATTCTATGTTTAATTTTAATAATGTTGATATTTACCGCAACTATTTGTGATAACTAAAATTTTTGCTCGATAAATATTGCATTGTTTGAATATATTATTTGGGAGATATGAAGAAGACTTGTCAGACACTCATAGTTTCTCACGTTATATCTGACATTTTATCTTTCTTCTATTTAACATTAGCTTTGTCTATCTGTCGCTTAAACGTCGAGGTCGACAACTCAGAGAATGGTTGCCCAGTTCGTACACCCGGTCGTGTAGTCAACGCGTCCGGTTATCGGAGTTATCGAATATCGTTATGCGGGCAAGTCACGCATAATACTCAGCTATAATAGTCAAGTCATATTTTATCACTATTCTTTCTCACTATGCTTTCATCGTGATCCCTATCGTATCTATAAAAAAAATTCTTTCTCTCCGTTTAAAACAATTAAAATTTTTATTCCAACTTTATTTTATTATTTGTATTCTTTTATTAGTTTATTAATGAATTATTCATTGCTTTGTGGAATTTAATGAAAGAAAGAAAAGACTAAAAATGCCCAATTTTATACCGGAAATTAAATTTAATACTATTGGTAATTAGTTAGTTCTTGAAGGAAAATAATTTTGGGATTATATTCTGATTAAATGTTTGGTATATCAGGGATGATGTTGGATAGTGAAATTGGAAATTAAAAAACTTTTTTATGGTAAGAGAAATTTTTTGTTAAATTATAAGATGAAGATTTAGTTTACTCTATGGAGGAATATTCTCTCTTCCTTTCTTGAAAAAAGGCATGGCCGGTTATCGTCATAATGTCGTTATATCGTTTTATTCGGATGTTGATTGGTTGCTAGAAGTAATAGCGGGAGAGATTTTTAATTTAAAAATAAAATTCATTTTTCTTATTTACGTATATAATACGATGCTGAGCGCACGCAGTGCACCTATATCCTTCTAGTTTGTTCTAAGAATTAGATTGTAACACTGCAAATCTCAAATTCGGAAGTGTTTTATTTCCATGCCTTTAGAGTGTTTCGAAATGACGTCATCCATTTGATGAACATTGTAGTCATTTTTAGTGCACTTAAAAATGTTTAAAAAATAGTCACAATAGTCTACAAATCATGCATAGTTTGTTAATGGGCATTTTACATTAAACACACTTTAAACGTGTTATTTTAGCACGTTTGTGACATCCTGGGATTTGTAGTACATTGAATTCATAGTTATCTAGATAGTAAAGTAACAATAATTCTTTTGTGAATAATTTTTATATTGCTGTGGTGTTAAAGTTATATTATTTTACATTCCTAAACAAATCTTTTTTTTTCAGAGTGATTTGAAAATTAATACTATCGTTAATGTTATTATTCTCATCATGGAGTGTGAATCAAATAATTTGTGTGAAGAAAAAAGAATCAAATATATTATAGAAAAATAATTTGAGTAAATTATGTTATCGATTCTATATGTAAGTAA